AAATTCCATCGCGATTGCATCGTCCGCTGTCTTAATTATTTCGCGTTTCACACGGACGATCGTCCTGTCGCGGCGAGTGCGAGACCCTCGCGTCCTGAGATCAGTATATCGAGTATAAGCGAGGCGTTAGCGGCGGGCGGCGACTCCCCCCTGTCCCCCGTCTCTTCCTCCCGCCCCGTCCGTCGTCGCTGCGAGAAACGCGCGCGAGGTAAGATGCTCCTCTCGCCGCTTCCGGCGCGTCTCCGCACCGAATCGGAAGTCGTGCCCGCGCCGAGCAGGCTCCCGCACGGCGACGACGTCGCGCTGTTAGAGCGTATCTTTCGAGCTATGGCCGTTTCTCCCTCCGGCTCGTCCCTCGCTCCGTCCGCATCGCGGCGGCCATCCTTGCCGGCCGGTCGGCCGTCGCCGAAGATAAATGGCGCCGATCGGCGGCACGTTTCGAATCGCCAGAAGCAAGCGACGTCACATACACCGAATTCTTCACGCGCCCGTTTTTCATCCACACACACACACACACACATGAACGCACGCGCATCATACATACATACATATATATATACATACATACATATATATATATATATATATATATATATATATATATATATATATATGGAATTCTATATTAGTACATGAAAGCTCAAATATGCATCCTAGAAGAAAATATATAAGGATATTATTTTTGAAATATTTTTGTTGATTATTAAATGTATTTATAATTATATTTATGTAGAAGAGAATCACAATAAATTAAAAGCAAATTTAATAAATTAATTTTGACAAATTAAAAGCGTGATAAATATATATCACATATAATTTACAAGTATATTATATTTTAATCTAATATTGTTTGTCATTTTTTTGTAGAGTGGTACTAAAATAAGGCCGCAGAGGGAAACAGCAAAAAAGCGGCAGCATTCTGAAGAAGAAGATGAGGAAGAGGAGGATGAGGATGAAGAAGAAGACGAGGATGAAGACGAAGATTCTGATTCTGATACAGCAAAAAAACCAAAAAAGAAAAGGCGTTCTAAGAAAGAGGATGACGATAAGGAGGACGAGGACGATGAAGATTCTGATGATAACAGTTTCAACGAATCAGGAGAAACTCCAAAGGATTACACAGTAAGTTATTAAAACATGATTGAATCAATTATAAACTCTTTTAAAATGTTATCTGAGATTCATATTTCTCTCTTTTTTTTACAGTCTGGGTCGTTTGTTCTTGCAAAAGCTGACCTTGTATCGAATAAAAATAAAACATCTAGTAAGGGTAAATCTGATGTAGAATCAAGCCCTTATCCAACTTTGTGGAGGATAGATGGAAAAGCGTTACTCCAAAAATTTTTACCTTTTGAAGAAGATGGGAAAGTACTGTACAAAAGCACAACGACAGTAAGTACATTATTTTTTAGAAATAAAAATTTTTTTTATTTTTTTAATTGAACTATAACTTGATGGTGTAAATTATTAGATCAAAAAATGAAATGACTTTGCATAAATTATATTCGTAAGCGTAAATAATTCATAGAGATTGTATTTTATTTCAGTATTCTGGATGGCAACTTAGTAACAAAGACAATTACTTAGCAGTCCAGGTGTCTTTTAAAGTGCAAAGTAGACAAGAGACAATTGTTGAACTTCATTTTGATCCAACGCAACAACAAGAAGTTGTAAAGTATGTGATTGTATTCAAAATTAATTAATCTATAATGTTGTAATAATAAAGCTAATATTAATAAGTCTGTTTTTTTGTGAATTTCAGGGATGAAAAAGAAGATTAAATTAGATCGAGTGTTTGATCTTATTTGTTTATATACATTCTAAGGAAACATATGCTAAGGAAAAAAAACAAAACATCCACATCTCAACATGTACACTATCCACGAAACATATTTACAGTTTACATGTACACATGAACATGAAGTTTATGACATGGTATTGTAGCAGGTTCATATTTAAAATATAAGATTGGATGGACCATGGTTCTGAGTTTTATTGGGGGTAGCTTTAGCTATAATGGACCCTCTGACAGAATATGTGTGTGAGCTTCAATTACCAATAGAATTACTCTCAAGCATGCATCATATTTACAGAATTTCATAAATACAACACTTGATGATTTACAAATATTTTATGTCTTCGACAGAAATTAAATGTTACCTAGTGTAATGGATGCATGTTGATGTTAATTTTTTTTATAATGTCACTATTAGTCCATTCGTAATTTAAACTATTTTACAGATGGAGCGTTGGCCTTGTGACCTATGTGGCCATTTCAAGCGCGCCCTTAGACAGAAACAAGCGGAACCGTTACCTTCAAGTCCCTCATTATAGCAAGAAAATAAAAATTTATATTTTAGCAGAATTCTAAAGAAATTCTAAAGAAATGCCGTAAATATATATATATACATACATATGATTATTATATTATTTTTCTTTTAATATTCTTTGAAAAGGGGCTTTATAAGGTTATATTTATTACGGTTTCCACAACTGCTACGGGCGACGCTGGGCCAGTTCTTGTGTGTATCATTTAATGGAAATCATAGGATAAAATAAAAATTAGGAAACACTTCCAATAATTAAGCATTTATATCTTTTTCTGAACTTTATATGAAAGATCAATTATATAAAAAATAATGCGTTATTAATTTTATGCCTCTATTACTTTAAATAATTCAATCTCAGAATATATTTATGAAAATGTTATTTTACATATTAACTTGTATTACCATACTTTTGCAATTAAATTTATGATATTAACGTATTTAAAATGAATCTTAAATATTTTATAGTAGAGGCGATATTTATTTATATAAGATGTTATAAACACATCGTATTAGCTGATAAATCTGATAGATATGAACGCAAAAAAAAAAGTGAAATTCAATTGTGGTAAATATTTATTAAGTGTTCCCACAATTGTACAGTGTACTTTATTTCTACGTTCTTATATTTTGTTTGTATAACTCTACTTTTGTGTATCTTGTATAGATAGTACATATCTTATTTGGATTTTATCACTCTTGATATATATTATGCAAAAGAAATTAGAAAATATAGGTACAGAGAATTTCACTAATTTATTATGTAAAATGTGGATGTTCATTATATGTAAAGTTTGTTATATAAATGAGAATTGATAGAGCATTTCAAAGTTTTTAATTTGTACCGAATCATTTCAATTGAATAGTCTTGTATCTTTATGCTAATTATAATTTTGTGTCTTGTAACAAAATAAAATGCAGTTTTCTTTATTAAGTGACCATATTATGACCTAAGAAATATTGAGTAAAATTGCATCTCATAAAATATCAAATAAATTTCCAATTAATGTTAGAATTTTAAACATTAAGTAAAAAATGGACAGATTTTTATACATTTATACATTAAATTAATATACATTTATATATTAATTTAATATATCTAATATATTTTCTGTTCCTATCCAAATATATTTTTATAGATAATAAGTTCTATTATTAAATAATTTTTATAATTGATTATAACAAAATATAAAACATTTGATATTTTATTCTATAATTATATAAATATAATGTAATATTTGGAGCACTTATCTTTCATTGAAATATCAATTAGTACTATTTAAATTATTTTGAATCATTTTAAATATTCGCTTATTTCCGTATAAGAAATATCTTTATAAAGAATATCAGAAATTTCTAATATATCTCTTGATTGTTATCCATATTAGATTGAAGTTAAGTGTACATTATCCATTACTACGATGTGTGATTTGTGTAAACATATCAATATTCAAGAAGTATTATAATTGTAATATGGCAGCATAAATTAATTCTTGGTAATTTACATCCAAAGAATCATGAATTGCTTTCTAAAATTCTTTATCTTGATGTATTCTCTTATAAGAGAAAGAGATGAAGAATTTATAATTAATAGTTAGATATGTTATCACTGTGTATTGATAGTAATTGTAAAAGACTAGATCTAAAAATTTTTTTGCAAAGTACAGAATGGCCAGCATTTGTTGCGATCAAAACTTATTGTGAATGTAATCATTAAAAAAATAGCGAAAGTATCAAACTTTCATTATTCCAATCATGCTCACATGTACACTCACACATATAGTTAGCTTCTTTGTGTTATTTTACATATAATTAAAATATATTAAATAAACTATACATAGGCGTTATCAAACGTGAACAAGATAAAACTGACATATTATATATCTTTCTAATTATGAGCTAGATACATGTATTCAATCAACCAACATAATTACAAAATGATAAATGTTAAATTCAATATTTCAAACTTAACGAGTATATTAAGCGTGATGTGGGAATGTGCGTTTTTTGACAGTTGCATATGTATTTAATATACTTTTTTACATTTCTTTCTTTTCAAAAAGTATACTATTTACATAACAATGTAAGAGACAATTAGAATATGAAGCGATATATAGAGAAAGAGATAAAAACAATTCAAGGGCAAGACAGATCGATTAAGTCACTTGTTTCGAATAATTATTCGAACTCATGAAAATGTCATGTTAAAATATATATTTTAAACGAGATAACACAAAACTTAGTTAAGTTTCCAGATGCATTAATATTGTCATTTAATTGCTATTAATTTATTGAAAAAGAAATTCTTTTTCTCTCAGTCAGCTTCAAAATACTGTCGATATGTTTAATTTGACATATGAATTCATCTTATTATATCATAAATTACATATATCAATAATCACACTAATATATATTTTCAACAAAATATAATGATAAATCTATTGCACCTTTTTTGATTATATGCCAATGTCTAGTATATTACATAAAATATAAGATTTTCATCTTTATTTATAATTTGTATTAAATAAAATGTATAAAAAAATATACAAATTATAAATAGAGATGTAAATATATATACGAAAATTTGTGTTAACATTTTTATGATGTATTTAGTATAGAGGTAATTAAATATATCTTATTTGTTTTCTTTTTTGTTGATTTTAACTAAAAATAGTTAAAAAAGTGATTGTTCTCATGTGTATACATTATAGAAATATCTATTAATATCTTATAAAACACGAGCTTCGAAAATATTTGAGATTTCTAAAATAGGAAAATATATAGATTAATTCATAAAGTGTTATAGAAAGTTCGAGTTTATGAAGTATTATTAATTTTTTACCCTGATGCACACACACACACATATTTAACTATATCACAAGATCATATAACTACACAATTAATCATTTTTCTTATTCACAAAAATAGCAAGTTTTTTAACAATCTACTTAAAATCCTGGTTCCATTCTGACTGATAAAACGCTACTTAGCATGTCACGAATTTCTGCCACTTCTCTCCTACTTTTTGCTAATTTATCCTCTAATTTTTTATTTTCTCGCATTATCTTTTTCATCTTCTTCCAATATTTCCGTTTGTCGACATGACGACAACAATCTGGATAATTTTTACTACGCTTACAATCTATACAAATTTTATCTTTGCAACAACAAACTTGATTATCTTGCAAACAAGAATGTTCACCTGATGCTAAATTTTCTTCTATAGTTTCAAAGCATTTCATTTTATCAATAGTTTCGCTAATTTTTGATAGTGAAGACATATAATTGGGTTCTCTAAGTAAAGATTCTGTATCTGTTTTTAGTACTAGATTGTTACTTTCAGTTGACTCAAGTGACTTCAGCATATTTGGTTGGTGTGTACTATTAGTTACATCACTAGATATTTCCTCTTCATTGTCTACTTTACATTCTATTATCGCATTTGGTATGCTAGACCTAATAGGTTCGCAATAATTTGCAGTTGTATCACATACTCTAGACTGTCTTTTGAGACTTCTTCTCTTTTGCATTAATGTGCATTCCGTACTTTGACTTTCAATAGAGCGCATTGCGCCATCACTAAATCTTCGTCTTCCGTCAAATATTTTACTTCTTAATGATTTAGTATCACACGATCCATCGCTAGCCCTTCGAACATCAAAAAATTCAGGTTTTTCATCTTTTGTGGAAATTGTATTGAATAAATTATATTCTTGCTCATTATTATCTACATTTGTGCCATTTTGAGCAATATTCAAACTATTCGCGATCTCTCGATTGTCTTTTAATAATTGGTCAGTTTCGGGAAAATCTACAGTATCAAACGATAATTGTTTCGTTAGTTTCTTGTCTTTGTTTGAAAAATACCGATGTTCAAGCGTTATACTTTCTTCTAAAGGTGATTGCTTTAATTCTATAGATGCATTAATATCCAATGAATTACGATTATCTATTGTATTATTGGACGTAAGATTTGTATCATTGGATATTTCGATTAAATTTCCATCACATCCAAAAGCAAATGATTTTTGTCCTACAAGAAACATTTTACTCAATATTTATAGAGAATAATAATATAGAGATAATTATATAGAAATTACATATTAAGACAGAATAATTTGTACCAAAATTTTCATTTACCTATAATCATACGTTTGTTGCACATATCAGGACTCTTGGAACGTGGTTGTTCTAAAAACTGCCTGTTATCAGGAGACAACACAGAAAGTCTTCCTGGGTTTTGTAAAGGATTGTACTGCTCACAATAATATGAATTTGTATCCATTTCATGGCTTTCGTGTTCCCGCAAACGTTCCATAATTTTTTGCACAATTTCTGATGGAGCTACATATGGCGATCCTTTAAAAAATAAAAAAAAATAAAATATATCTCTGTATATTCATTCTAGCCAACAATAATTGCCGTCAACTAAAATGATGAGATATATAAAGCTGAAGATGATTAAATACTATAATATATGATATAATATTACATATATAATGATATAATATTACATATTGAAAATTTCACATGTAATATTATATGTATAAAAAATACAAAAAATACAAATAATGGCCTAGATAAATTTAAGCTTTAAATGTATCACATAATGAATATTTTTTAAATGGATGAATACTGCACACAATTTGAAAAATTCAATACTACTTTACACACACTATAAGTGACAATACATTAAAAGACATTCATTAAATTCTACCACCAATATAACTTGCATTTTAAATCTGTGCTCTCCTTGTGCATTAGTATGCAATAACATATTTATTTTTGCATATATTAGCATGCAAATTAATGTAAAAATAAAATTACACATAGCTTTATTGTTGTGACAATGTGATGGTCTATTATTATTATATGATGATTAACTAAGCACTTAAAATTCTAAAAGTGTAATATTTTCACAATATAAAAAATCACAAACTTCTACTTAAAATAACAAAATATTGCATATTTAATTTAAACTCAAAAGCAATGTGAAGAAATATAAGAAACTATAAATATAGAAACTATATGTCCACCGAAAATAAAGACTATAATAATACAAACAAACAAAACAGCTTTTCTAAATACAATTAAATTGTGCATACATCAAAACAGTTTTGTCTACAAATTTTTACGCGAGACTTACAAAATTATCTGCTTCCGAGTTTCTATGCTGTCGGACGCGTGTGGAAGCGCATAATGCGCTATTGCTTCCTACAAAATTATCATGCTATATGGAAAATATTTGCGGGTTTATTTTATTCCCAAGAATATGGTTTTAACGATCATCATAAAAGAACATCATAAAGATTTTGCTACATTTCATATACAGAAATTATTAAAATGTTTGTAAGATGTTTATAAGAGTTGAGATTGATAAATTTAGAATCATTCCTATCTTTTTACTTCTACAAAAGAAAATGGTAATTTGTTATAGTATGACTGTTATTGAAAAATCAATCTTACCTGTTAGGCCTCTGTATCCTAAAGATACCGAATCAAAAGATTCACTACTCTCTTGTTGTTGCTTAAGAAACTCATCTATAGCAATGCCTTGTAACGATGACGGCTGAAGGAATCTCTTAGGAATGCGAGAAATTGGATCGTTCTCCCGCGGACTGGTTGAGCAACCGCCGAAACCAAGATCAAGCAAAATTGCTGTCGGATCCGCTTTTCGTAATTCTAATAAACTTTCAACACTACTACAGTGGCTACTGTCTGATTGAAAGCTCGCATCTCGTGCCAGTCTATGAGGAAGCGAACTGCAATTTAAATATTCATAATTTAATATGGATATTAAATATTGGTAAAAAGAATACAATCTTAAGTATGTTTAACTATACCTTGGAAGTATTGGTGTATTCATTGTCGATGAAGTAGGAACATTGATAGGCGCTGATATAGTCATGCTTGGAAGCTTTGAAGCTTTAGGAAACGGAATGTTTTTAGGCTCTGTTGGTGTTAATGGTTTATTCGAATTGTGTTCTTGACATTCGTTTGTACTGTCCGATTTTGTAGGCAATGGTATTGAATCAATCCATTGTTGAACTGGTCCACCGGCACGTCGTCTCATTTCCCAAATTCCACGTAACCAATCTGTCACTTTCAGAATAGTGTCCTTGCCCACATTTTCTAATTGAGTGAATTAATTATACAATAATTAATAAAATCATATAGTAAAATATATATATATATATTTTTTTTATAAATATAAATAAAAATATTCTTATTTATATATATTATAGGGATAATTTTTTATTGTATCATTTTAATATCATAAAAATATTGCATTCAAACATTGTAATAACAGAATATTTAGCATGCATAATAATGATAGCAATATAACATATGCACATGCAAATTTTATATATATATTTTTTCCTATATTAATTACAAATTTTCTTAAAGTCTGTCATAAAATATCATGCTGCAAGATATCCAAGCTCTATTAAAAAAATAAACGATATTTAAAATCTTTCAAAGAATTGTCTGTGCATGATAACTTTAATGTAAGCATTAAAACGATAATGCTGATAAATACATTCTTGTATTTTTATATAACTCGACATGATGTCATATGTGTATGGCATAAATATGTATGCAATTTACTGTTTTCTAATAAAGCTTCGAGACCTAATTCTATCCGCTACACTCCACTTTAACTTGTCAACGTAAAACGAGAGAAACACGTAATATAATTTTGATGATGAAATACCTGGATCCATATCCTGTCGGAGCATGAAGATAGAATATCATAAAGAAGTGCTGTATGTCGCGCGCGCGTATGTACATATCACGTGCCATATTACAGAGAGAGAGAGAAAGAGAGAGAGATATTGTACTACGTTCAATTTATATTTACGCGCGATTGCGAAATTGTAATGGATTGTAACGAATGCGAAATCGTTCGGATTGAATCAGGAGAGTAACGCGATGCTTACCTTCGTCCAATTCAAATGAACGATTCACACACGACGCTCACAACAAACGAGCGCGATATCTCTGCGACAGAGACTCGAAACGCATGTCCGCGTGACGTTTCCACAGCGATTTGTTTGCGGCGCGGAACGATTGAGACTGGTTGCGCGCGTCTACTTGTCACAGTTAGTCACAGTGTCCGTGACAGCCACGTCATCCGTTCCGGCCGTCAGTGACGGACGGACGTGTCTCGAAACCCTTGCAGCCTTGTTGATAGAATAAATGCAAAGTGACATTTTCCCTGCGTAAGTTGGATTGGCTGTTTCATTTCGATCGGCTCAAACCTATTGTAAAAAAAAATTTATTAATTCTTCGGATGTTCGAAAGTTTGATAATAAATAATAAAATTAATATATGAAGATTAATAAGATATCTTAGATTAGAAACTCGCGAACATAGATTTGTATTTAAGATATCTGAAAAAATTAATAAATAACTAATAATTAATTTTGTTGGTTCAAATAAATGAAGTTTAGTACAAAATTATTGTTCAATCAATCGCAAAAAATTATTTTAAATATTTTTTTAGTTTATTTAAATTTACCAAAATTTTTTCCTTTCTTAATAGGTTTGTACCACGATTTTTTTAACATTCTATATAAGTATGTATACATGGCTCATTGTGAGAATAGAGTGCGTTTGCTAACTTTACTACAGCGAATAAGTAAAATTTTGCAAGCAAGAAAAACTTCTCTTTATTGATAACAGATGGCACTTGCTTGCAAAATATGAAAATTTAATAGATGTCAATTCTAGTTTTCTTTTATCATTTTTACTGCGCTATATATCTTTATATCTATTGCAAAGAAATTTTGTAAGTATATTTAGATATTTTTTTAGAAAGAAGTGCGCACATAATTAAACAAATTAAATCTCATACATTTCATGTATACATTTTCGCGCGTTTGAAGCTAGAAATTTTTGAGATGGATGTATCGTATTTTATCAAACTTGCTGTTGAGTCCTTTAATGGATTTTTACATAACAGCAAGATACAAAAGGTAATGGTCAGAATCTTTTTTTTCCGATTATTCTTGAATTTTTTAACCTATAAAAACATATCCTTCCGCATATGAAACACACATACATGAATATCTTCGATATGCTCCGAAAGCAGCTGACTTCAGGCTTCAGGTGATTTGAGAAGATGTACGAACGTCAAGCGCGCGCACGCGCCGTTCGACGCCGCCTCACAGCTGATGCGCGGTGACGTCACTAAACAAAGCCATGCGCGCTCGACGGAGCGCGAGACCGAGAGCGGAACAGAGCGAAGTTGTCCGGCGAAGGGAACGGAACCACGCAGTGACGGCGGACACGGCAAGGTGCGCCTCGGCTCCACGGTTACGCGAATCGAGTCCCGTCGTCGCTTTCCCAGTCTTCGCGCGTCCTCAGGATGCCGTTCATATCCAAGGACTGGCGTAGCCCAGGCGAGGAATGGGTAAAGACGGTCGAGGGTTGGGAGAAGAAGAAGATCCTCGAGTGCGCCAACAACAAAACCCTCTCGCTTCTTCTGCGGTAAGTCGTTGTTTCAGTCGCTCTTTCTCTCTCTTTCTATCTTTTGCTATACTTCTTCCCCTCTTGCTTCTCTCCATCGTTCTTTGTTCGTTTCGCGGCCTACGACTTTCTCGACGCACAGCTGTTAATCCGGCGTTTACATCGATCCGACTGACAGCTCCGTTTGTTTACATGCGAGCGCGAGCATCCTTGCACTGACTGACCGACTCGATTTGCCACGCAAATTATTGCATCGATCCAAGACGAGGAATGTATAAACACGTTAAATGAATATTGTTATTCGCAGTGCTCCTACTTGGATAAGGCTCAAGATTTCTTTCTGACTGCTATAGGTATTATAACGTCCCGACTAGTTTCCCGTTCTTTGAAACGCTCCATGACAGCCTTGTCATTAATGGATGCTGATATCTTTAATATAATACGATTAATTCGACTATCGCGAATATAACGTATGTCTTAGAGTCTAATCAAATATATGAATGCCATCTTTATATCAATATATATATATATACATATAATATGCATATAATGTATATGCATAAAAATATATATATATATATATATTTTTTTTTTAAATTAATTAATTCGTTTATTTATATTCAATATTTTACATGATGTCGTTCTAATATTACTTCTATCCTTACTATTTGTATTATGAAAAATAGTATCCTTACGACGAGTCGATCCTCGCTCATCTTCCGGCACGACCCATGGGTGATACCATGTTCCTCGAATAGCTCACGCGACTCGTAACTCGGGTAATTTTCAAGATCGCGTGTGGAATAACATTGTAATATCATTCAAACTGATCTATAATAACGTACAATATACAATACAAAAATTATTTGTTTTTTTTTCCATTTGTCATTAAAGCGATGTCGCTAGAAATGTCAATCTCATGAAACGTGAGTCGAGTCGATTTCAAGTATTCGATTCGTATTGAGCCAATTCCATGTGATTTGAGCAAATAATAATATCAAAATATCAATAAAATAGTATCGGAAGATAATCACTAAATATAGAATGCTGTCTTGAGGGTGAACGAAAAATGAAGAAGTGTAGAAATAGTGAAGGACAAGCCTATTATATATCATAAGGATAGCTATCTATAATCATTTTTCATTAAGTTTATTTTTATTAAATAATATTCTTGACATGATTTTTATATTTCTCTTTCTTTTTCTATGCTTTTAAAATTGAAAATTTTAAATACTTTATTAAATAAATTGCTAGAACATTATTTAAGAAAGCAAAATATTACCAAAGTTTTAGTTGTAATTGCTCAAATCAGAAGCAAAAAACGCGAGTAATTTTGTGACATATTAAATAACTGCGCTTGACGTTTCGAATTTGTGATAGAAATAAATACGCGCGTAAACTTGTTTTTCTTGAATATATTGTAACTTGTGTTACTTTGCAAAAAATCATACGTTCACTTGTATCGAAATCTATTCACGTTTTGATTTTTATCAACACAGCTGACCTGAACGCTTTGAGTTTGAATCAATCGAAAATCACGAGAATCATATCAAATAGTTATACGTGTAAAAAACAAAAGGAAAAGATCTATTTTCTTTTCTTTTTTCAGTCTACGCTATTGTGTGAATGTGCGGTGTGTCATGAAAGTGAGATCACACCCACGGATTTCCTGACATTCGGATTAAGAATTAATTAAGCGCTAATAAAAGTCAGCAGCTTGTTAGCTCAGCTCAAAGGGAATTATTTTTTCCCAACAGAAAATACCAATTTCACTTATTGACACCTATAATAAAAGTTAATATATCTTCACTTCAAATTATATTGTTTAACTCTAAATAAGATTATGACTTTTTTTTAAGATATATAGATTTAATAGTAAAATATACATAAGTTGAAAATAAAAATAAAAATTTATAAATTAATCTTTTTAATATTTAAAAAATTAAGAATTCTTTAAAAATTAATTTAATGCAAAGATAGAGCATGGAAAAATATATAATATAAAAATAAAATTTGTTTTTTTCTTTTGATGCAGAAAAATACTTATTTTATTTATAAGAGTTAATTAATAATAGGATAATATCTTACATATCCTATAATATGATTTGTTATTGTTTAGAAATTAATCTAGATATATGTCTTATTTCTTTGTAGCTTATATAACCGTTCTCTCTTCGTGTTAATAGGATTTTAGAATTTCGGAGATTTATAGGACTCGCAATTAACTTTCGAGACTTATTGGCGGTTTACTCGTCCTCGGGATGACCGCCGGTTGCGCATCGTGATTTCTTCGACCGGATATTAAGCCCATTGTGCTCGTTGCACCAGTTGTGTTTGTGACCGTGACAGACTTAGATAATTAGAATCGCGATGCATTAAGTTGACGGGCGCTGTCAAAGAACGCATAGCGCGGTTCTTTGTCTCCGCAACACGCGCATCGCATTTGCAAACAGCTGTATCGCGTAAACATACTCCCCCGCGCGCGACTTATTCCGCCTCGTAAATATTCTTCGTCGCTGGCGAATGAACCAGGCATGATCTTATTAAGAGCAATATAACAAAGCTTTGCTTGCCACTTTAAAAAAAAATTCCACTTGTAAATTCCATTCTTTAATTGAAAGAATAGTGCAAATTGCAATGCTTATAGAGATTGTAAACCAAATTTTATAATTTGATAAAAATTTGTGCCGCAAAATTTTCATTAATTTACATATATTATTAATACGTAAATTTATACAGTGTATAATTAACTTGGCATTTTATTAAAAAATAACACGCAATATATAATTAAAAACATTTACTTAATAAATACAAATAATTATACGAGAGAGATGTATGAATAAATATATAGATGATATTTTTATGATCCTTATAAATAACCATAAAATACAAAAAATATTCTAAAATCTAAATGATTTCTAAATCATATCCGATAAGAAGTTTCTCATTTTCTCTTTTCTATGTGAGAAACGAAAGATCTTAAATTATCCGTTTTGTACCAGATTTATAGTACAGCATATCAATCGATTCGCAATGCAAACTTGATAATTGCTTTGCTATTCTTGCTTTCATATCGGCGTTAGTTTTAAACAATAGTCTCGTCTAAAATAAAATTACTTTTTTATTCTAAATCTAATAATTAGTCTATTGCAAGTTCAATCGATATATGTACCTACGTTTGACGTTTAGTTTGGAACTTAATTCCAACTCCAAATAATCGATAATTATTATATAGCGACTATGCGACTATGTGACATATGAGAAATTAATTAATTTACGGGAAGTATATAAAAAATTAACAGTTACTAGTGGTTTCTACAAATAATGTAACACAATAAACATGCATTTAAATAGAAAATAATTGAATGATAAAATATACAATAAACAACTTGCTGGAAAAAATATACGTTCGTTAAAAATATGATATCTAATTATTCTCTTTAATGTCTCATGCACTTTAGATAATTACAAAGTATGTATATATTTATTTTTTTTGTATTTTATTTATAAGTATCATAAAAATATCATCTATATATTTATGCACACATATCTCTCGTATAATTATTTTTATTTATTAAGTAAATGCAATATGTGTGAAACAAACTCGTATATGAAACTGTAATTATAGTATATTGCGTGTTTATTTCCGGTAAGATTGCCGCCAGAAGCAGGTGAGCATTTAGCATTTCTCACTGCGTTGTTTGAAATATTTAGTTTTCAAACGGTGCAAATCTTGCATGCCCCTTGCGTTTCCAATTAACGATGCGTGTGTGCATCCGGATTTTTTGCGGTTATGAAAACCTCGTGTACATATGTATATATTTACAAACGTAACACGCTTTCATAATTTTGTATTAGCACACAGTGCGTTGTACTTTAATATTCTTCAAAGCCACACGTATTTCTTCGTATGTATCGATTATTTCTGCGTTATCAGCGTGTGTGTTATACATTTTGTTTTTATTTACTTAAAATAAATTATAATATATATATATATATATATTTATATTTATTAAATATATAATTTTTTGTCATAAAACATTCAATTTAAAAATTCACATGTATGTTTTGTACTTTTAATCTTTTGGAGAGCACGCGCGCACACATACACATTGCATGCAATCAATAAATAAAAATAAATTTTCTTACTTGTATCTTAGAAATATATGAAAATTTTTTAGGGAATTCTATCAAGACATCACATATGGAGCTCTCGTTTCTATATATGTATAAGCGTTTCTATATATGAAAGTTTCGTCAGGGCGCTCAACTCTTCGTCGCGCTTTCTCGCACTCGTCCAAAGAAACTGATTCCTTTATTCCTTTCCGCTAGATAAAGACAATTTAATACGAGGAAGCTAAGATCGAGTTTCTCGAAAGCTTAAATTGGAAATATTGCTAACCAACGAAAATTTATATTCAAAAATTATATTTTATATATTTACGTTTTCATGATTTTTGTTTATAAAATAACTCGCGCTGAATAAAATCAGATTTTAATGTGAAAAAAAATAAATATATAGTTATTTATTTCTTACTTTTAGTATGTAATATTAAAAGTTTTTAAATTTATTATTCTTTTTTATTGGAGACTTAGTATTTTTTATTTATAAATCTTTGGATAAGTCTTGAAGATAATTTTTCCTTAACAAAAGTTTATTTAAGGAGCTTTATTTTCTCCAATAATTTTATCCAATATCTCGGTAATAATAAATCTTAATATTCTAAATAAAACAAAATAAAGTTTAAAATGAAAATTTATTTGACCATTTATTTATCTCTCAAAAAATCAATTAGTAAAGAATCTTTTTTCAATCACTTATAATCTGGATATTATTAATTGTTTGATATTTTTGTTAAGAAAAAAATAATGTCAAGTTTGCGCGTCGAAAGATCCGATATAAAACAGAAACACGATCAATTTCACTCTTTATTGACAAGTTTCATAATAAAAGACTCCATTAAAAGTTGAAATAATTTCTTTTAAAGAAATAGAACAGCGCGTATATACATTTCGTTTCA